ATATATATATATATATATATATATATATATATATAAAATTGACTGTATAAGACTCCTTAATTATGGAGCCTTGGCTCCTAAATTAAGTAGTCGATCTGCCCATCTGCATGCTTAGCGAATGGGCATTGCAAGCTTGCCTAGCGTGTTGGTCCCGATAGAATGAGATGAGAGTCTAGAGGGGGGAGGGGGGGGGTGAATAGACTCTTTTCGTTAGAAGCCCTAAACATCACCTTTCGGTGTCTTGGCGCAGCGGATAAGATAGATTCGTTTTAGATACTTTGCACGAGTTTGCGTAATTAGACAAACTTTTGGTAACGATGATAAAGGAATGATATGAATGTAAAAGGAAAAGCGTAAGTAAAGAGGTAGAGAGGACACGAGATTTTATAGTGGTTCGGCCAATGTTGCCTACTCCACTCTTCTTCCACAACTGTTGGAAGGATTGCACTATCACTCTTAGTACAAATACACAAAGACTTCCTTGATCACTAAGCCGGACAGCCTTCGTAGGTTTTTCAACTCCTCGAGTTTACTCCGCCTCTATCAACTTCTTCTCCTGAGTTGAGGTTGGTAGAAAATGATTTCTTGAATTCTCCAACGATGAGGTCTTGACTCTGAGATATGATTGCTTCAAACAGATGTCAAGACTTCCTTGAGGTGTAAGACAAACGATCAATAGTCTTCTTCAAGTAACTTAGCACCTCAAAACTGGTTCACAAAAGCTTTTAGTAAATTGTAGACTTTTCAAGAGCTTTTGTAAGTGAGTAAGTCGAGTGATAATGAACCAGCACCTTCTTAGCTGATGAAGGTGGGTTTTTATAGGTGATGAAAATTCATCCGTTGGAGGGGGATGAAATTTTCGAAACTTTTAACCATTGGACAAGGACCGGGGAACTTCATGCATTAAATGCTCAATTAATGAGGTTGTACCATGTAGCCGTTGAAGGTATGGAAAGCATTAGGGTTTTGTCCTTTAGCTCCAAGAGATGGTACATCTTCATTTAATGCTTCTTTAAAAGTGTGTCCCATAAGATGAAGTCCTTATTGTCCTAGGATGTTGTCCAATCAGACAGGTAGAACATTCTTCTCGTTGTTGAAGAGAAGAAATGCTTGATAAGGATCGTCTTTTAACAAAACTGTCCTTTCGTGTTTGTTGACAACTCGTTCTGGACTCTCGTTGTTGTTCTTCATGTCTCGTGTCTTCTTTCGCCTTGGAGACCCTAACATCTAATCATAACTCATTTTCGTGTGTTTGTCTAGCTTAACACGAATTACAGAGGAGTTATGGCAGCTCTCGTCTAGGACGAAGGCAGCGATTGAAAAAGCTAAAGGTTAGGGGTTTACTTTTCTACATTACATTGGTATCATCAAAATCCTAATACAATGTTCCTAACAATTTCCCCCTTTTTGATGATGCCAAAACCTATACTCTTCTTATAAGGCTGATAAAAGTTCCATAAGGATTTTTCTATTACAAAGACAGCCATACTTGAGAGTTTACAAGTCTTTTTCTAGATTAAAGCGTTAATGAGCGAGACAAGGATAAGTAACTCAGACAAGTGACACGAGATGTGTGACAATGAGAGTTTCATATATAAAGATGTGATCATTACAAAAACTTTATAACGAGAAACATATCGAAAGTTAACTTACATTTCTAAAAGCTTTGATTTCTGTTGTTCAGCTTCCTTGAGTTCTTGGTCATCCTTTTCCTTTTGTTGCTTTAGCATCTTGTTGAAGTCAATTTTCTCATTGATTTTTGCTCTGAAAACTTTAATAGGATTAGTCCTGACAAGCTCTTCATGTTCTCCTTTGATGTTCAGACCAGTGTAATTGTTGTAGGCTTCCCGAATGTTACTTCCTTCAACAATACCATACTTCCACCACGAGATCAGTTCAAACGAATTCATGCCTTCTTGGTAGCTCTTTCCTGATTCCTTGTGCACTTTGAAAGCTGCATTGTGCATGACATTCTGTGGGGAGTCTTTGGTTACATTAGAGAGGTCTTCAATGAGATTCCTGATCCTTTCTCTTTCCATTGCTTCATCTTCTCTTCTCTTTCTTTCTTCATCATGCTTCCTCCACAGTTCTTTGTTTGCTCTTTTGATTCTCTCATTTTGAGTGCTCATGTGATTTTGTCTTGTATAATTGTCTTTTGTTTTCAACCAAATAGGATTATTGCAACCCTCGAATCGTTTGCCACTGCCTTCTTCATATGGGACGAAGTCCACAAAGTTTCCTATGCCATCCATAGTTACTTTGTTATCTCTCATAAGTTTCTGCCTTAATTTCGTCTGTTCTCTCTTTGGCAGTCCTGTGAAGATGTATTTGGCTTCAGAACCAAATGATTGTCGAGGCTTAATTTGTTTGGAGGATTGGTATCGACCATGATATCTTTGCTTCGAGGAGTGGTAACCACGAGACTTGGAAGGTGGATGAGATGGATTCGTGTTCCTTTGGTCATAGTCTCTTGGTGTCCGAGAGGGAGAGTGTCGTGTTTCACGAGCTTGATCTTTCGTGTTATCTCTCGGCTGGTCACCATCCTTATCTTTGTCATCATTTCTCTTTTCCCCCTTTTTGGCATCATCAGCACAGGTGGTAGGAGGAATGGAGGAGACCTTGTTGATTGCAAGCAAGATATCCTGAGCATACCCGAGAATTTGAAGTGCATATTCGCCCAGTTGGTACGAATTGTCCTGATATGTGTCAATCTTTGTACAGGCCAAATCCACACGCTCTTTGAGACCAAAATGAGAGTGTTTGATTTCGTGTTGTTGTCGCGCAACTTTGTTCAAAGAAACTTTGAGATCATAAAGTTTCTTTGTCATTCTCTCAAGGGTCTTGTGATCTGATTGGCTTTGTTGCTGCGGTTGAGGCTGTGCTGGAGGTGGAGATCGAGGTTGAGACTGTGCTGCTATCAGAAAATCGACCTTCTTGCATAGATCATCCATAACTTTCGTGTCCTTATCTCGTAGAGCAAGATATTGCCTATGGATGGTTTCGGCTGAATGAACAGTTTCTCTCATGATGTTCATGATAGTCCGTGGGGACTCTGCAGGGGATTCTTCCTCAATGTTTGTTGGTGATGTGTCCATGTGATCATCTTGAGGTGGTGCTTCCCGTTTTCCACCACTAGCTGAGCTAAGAAGAATTGGTGAGGCTTCCAGTTTGCCCTCACGCATACTTTCGTTTCCTTGCTTGATTGGAGTCTCATCTATGGGTTGGGTATGCGGAACAATGGCACGAGATAGATCTTTGAGATGAGAAGTTGAAACTTCTTCCGAGTCATCACTGTCAGATGGTAGTTTTCTTAAGGGAGATCTTTGAGGATAGGTGTCATAGTCAGGACCGATCAAGATTGTATGACTGTCTTCGGGGTCGGCTTCTTGAACACCTTCATTACCCATCTGATCATCATTATCATCATCATCATCATCATCATCATCATCATTCTCATCATCAGCATCATCAACATCATCATCATTATCATCTTCATCTTCATCTTCATTACTCTCGTCTTCTTCAATCTCTCGTCCAAGCTCATCTTTCGTGCCACTGACATTACAATTTGGATCATTTTGGTGTTCCTTCTCTAAGGAGGTCTTGATCTTTGATAGCAACATGGCATATCGAAGTTGCTTCATTTCTTCTTCATAAACTGGATCCAAGGGTGGCTTGTTAAGCTCGATGCAGATTGGAGCTTTATCTCTCCCGAGAGTGCGATTTGTCATCTTGTAAGAGAAAACGCGATTGATTTCTTCAATGCGAAGAGCTTTTAAAACGTCATCAGTGCCAATCCACTCAAGTGCAAAGATTTCTTCGTCCTGCATTGCTTCAAAAGTTTCAAGAAAGGTCCGTAGTGGAGCAGTGCGCCACTTCTGCCACTGCAGAACTCGTTTGTAATCCCTTTCAATGGATTCTCTAAGCACTTGATCTCGTGTACGACGAGAAGCCTTTACTTCAGGAGCTGGAGCTGAAGGTTTCGGTATATCCGGAGAAGTTACATGGACAACGGCTGTCTCGTCTACCAACACAGGTTCTTGTGTCAGAATTACTTGCTCTGTATTGGTAGGTTCTTGTGGCAAACAAGGCACAACGATCAGAGCATCAGTCGCCTCTTTCGTCTTTTCTGGTGACCCAGGTTCTTGTGGAAGACTTAAGCGACTGGCCTCCATGTCTACATTAGCAGGTTCTTGTGTCAGCTCTCTAAGGAGTTGATCTGCCAAAGTAGGTTCTTGTGGATGGTGGTCTTGAGGAGAACCGAGATCAGACTTGGGTTCTTGATCATCAGAAATTTTCTCAGGAAGAACATCTTTCGGTTGAGCTTCCCCCTCAGAAAGTGCTTCTTTCGTGATTATTTCCCCCTGCGGGAATGCATCTTTCGTGTCGTCTGCTTTCGGTGTAGAAGATTCCTTCGGGAAAGATTTCGCCTTGATGGGAGATCGAAAGTGACTCACTACAAGAAAAAGCGCGAATCGCGACGGAAATTTTCCGTCGCGAATGGGCAATATTCCGTCGCGAATCGCGTTTCGCGACGGAATGGCGACGGAATATATTCTGTCGTCTATCGCCTTGTCGTTTTTTGGTAGACGACGGAATAATTCCGTCGCGACGTTTGGCGATGGAATTCGCGACGGATTATTTCCGTCGCCATTTGGCGACGGAATTATTCCGTCGCGAATTCCATCGCCAATTTTGCAACGGAACTGTTTCCGTCGCAAACCCGTCGTTATTTCTGAACCGAATATTCCGTCGCCATATTATCTTTTCGGTCGCCAATTCCGTCGCTCATTTCGCAACGGAAATGTTTTCCGTCGTAATTCCGTCGCTTCATTGGCAACAAATATTCCGTCGCAAATCTTATTTTCCATCGCGATTCCGTCGCGTTTTTGAATTATTTTAAAATATAATTTTTATTTTAAATAGTAATGAATGTTTTTAAAATAAAAGATAACATAATTCTAAATTAAGTTAAAATACTAATACATTACCAATCCACATTTCATACATAATATAATCGTCAATTAAACTCTAAACAACATAATAATACATTATCAATCCACACTTAATACATAATATAATAGTCAATTCAAGTCTAAACAACATAATAATACATTATCAATCCACACTTAATACATAATATAATAGTAAATTCAAGTCTAAACAAAATTAACAAACAACCATTAAAATCAATTGATTTGAGATGGAGGTGATGATGAAGTACCCGCTCTCCCGCCATCAATAGCATCAAGTCGTTGTTGCATAAGGAGAATAGTTTCCTTCAAACTCTGAATTTCATGTTGTACATTTGCAGAAGTAGAAGTAGTATTGTCGGGTGGTCGCGATGTTGGTGTCATATTGCCAGAAGTGTTATCATTAGTTGGACCATGAACAACAGAACAACCATATGAACCAAGTCCATAAACTCTTCTTTTCTTATCGTGTCCACCAACCGCGTCATAGTATAATTGATTGTCATCCACTTGCTCCCCATTTTCTGCCAACATCTCCCGTTGCGATTCAACTTGTTCCTAAAATATGTTAGAGATTTAGTACAAAATATATGTAAAGGCATATATCTTTTAAAAACTTAAAACAAATTAAACCAAATTAAACTTACATGAATTTGTTTGGCTTTTTCAGCTATGAATGTTTGCCCATCGTGTTGTTTGGTATGTGTATGCCTGAACAGTTCATAATACGATAGACAATGACCCAATTGTCCTTCCTACAAATTATATTTAACAAACAAAAGCAATTATTAAAGTAAGAAAAAATTCGGCAGAGTTTCCTTTGTATATAAGACTATCTCCCTGTTCAATATATAATACAATTCAATTATAATCTCCAACATCAATCAATAAACACAATAAAACACAATCACAATCAACAAAAAACATAAAAGTTGGAGTCAAGTAAACTCTAGTTATTCATTCTACCTAGAATCCTCATTAAAAGATTTAAGCTAGTGCTTCCCAAATTAACTTTGCAGTTTCTACTCCTAAGTTCAATCAATCCTCATTATCAAATCATTCAAGTTCAAATAAATCTCAGGTTTCCATATCTTATTTCCATATAATAAAAAACACATAATACTTATAATAACTTAAACAATTCAAATGAACTTACAAGTTGAGCTGCAACTTTTACGTGAGGTGTTGATCCTGTGGTATGGGTAGATTGAGCAACTCCAGTTAAAACTCCTCCACGCCTATTTTTCTTAGCCAATTCTGTTTTCTTCTTTCCCTCCTCAGAATTCCAAACATCATTCCATTTTATCCATATTTCTGGTGGGACATAGGGAGGTCTTGGCTTTTTCCTTATTCTACTTATGTAATCAGCATATCTTCTTTTAGCCTTTATCTCCCAAGCATTATACACTACAGCAGTTTTAGTAGCATCCCACTCAAAAAATTTCTACAAAACACAATGTAAATACGAACTTACGTTAGACATGTAAACAAAATAACAATAATTCACTTTAGAATTAAAATACAATGCATGAGATTAAATATTACCTTGAATTCTTCCCAATAAAATTCAACTGTCTCAACACTAAGTTGTCCCCATGCATAACCATTAGGATCTATTCTTTCTTTGAACAACTTAGTAATTTTTCTAGCACATACATCTGAGCTAGTCAACCTATAAAAAGGAAAAGTCAAAATTTAAAAAATTAATATATATTCAAATAATAAATTTCATTTTAATTTAACTTACATATTATCCTTAACATCAATTCGTAGGCGTCCATGCACTCCTACAGAGTCAACCATATCACCTTGTTGCCTAACTGCATCTTGTCCAACTTGACCATTATTAGTAGCCGTAGATGGCGTGGATGGTGATAAGGGTCTTGATGCTACTATGGGAATCGATGCCGATGCCGATGCCGATGCCGATGCTGATGCCGATGCCGATGCCGATGCCGATGTGTGATTTCCATTACGTGGTACAACATTTATTGACAAAAGTCTAGCTGCAAAACGACCTCCACGTCCTCTTGGCATCTTTCCTACAAAATATGAAAAGTGTAATATATATTAGTGTTTCATATAATATATATTTATTAAGCATTACTTTTGAATTACCTACATAAACTCTAATTTTCATAATCGTCGCCGTCATCATCATCATCATTATAACAATCATTATCTTCATCTTCATTAGTTGACGAACTAGAGTCAAAGTCAAGCTCATCATTTTCCTCTTCATTGTTATCTGAATTGTCGTCAGGAATGTCGAGATATTCCACATTTTCATCACTTAACCTAACGAAAGAATCATCATCCACAGCACTTGCAATTTCAGTTTCTTCAACTTCTTTTTCTTGAAAAGCAGTATCTTTCGTTTGGCCATTTTCTTTTTTGAAAGATTCTATCCATCCCCGAGGTTGAACTTTACACACAACTAACCAATTAACTTTATCTCGTCTCATACTAGGGTACGGAACAAAACAAACTTGAATAGCTTGCATTGCTAAAATAAATGGCTCAAATTTGTGAAACCTTCTCCGTTGATTTATTTCAACCAAATTATATCGGTTATGAACCTTTACTCCAACATTAGGTGTTGGGTCATACCATTCACATTTGAACAAGACAGTGCGTTTAATTGGCAAGGCAGTATACTCAATTTCTAATATTTCCATCAACTTGCCATAGTAATCATCACATGTGCTACTTACACAAACACCACTATTCATTGTTGATTTATTCTCACCATATGACTCTGTGTGAAATCTATACTCGTTGACAAAATACACAGGATACGATTTCACAGTTCTCAGTGGCCTTTTTGACAAATCACATATATATTTGTTCTCTATTTCATTTTGGCGTGCCTGTGCCATTGAAAAATTTACATATAAGAGTTAGGTTTTAAATTATTTAGAACCAAGAGAAGTAGTTGACTACAAGACTTACATAATTTTCAAACCAAGAACCAAAATTTTGTTGTAGTTGTGTTGCAAGTTCTAACTCACTTATCCTGGGATCAAGTTCCTTCAACATCTCTTCATATAAACTGTAAATTTATATAACACAATTATAAACTCACGAATGATTCAACTATCATTAATTAATTGATTGATGTGGAACTTACGCAATGTAAGGCTGTACTTCCTCACAATTAAGCAATATATAAGTATGTGCTGCCAAATACTCTGCATCAGTTAGTCTTCTTGTCTTACATCTTCCATATAAGCGACCAGGATATTTAAATATGGACAAATTTTCTTCGTCCTCCTCAAGAACTCCTCCATCATCATTTCGAGGAACTTTTCGACTACGTGTATAAACGTGTGGCTTGAAATAATGAGAACAAAATATAGAGGCTTCACGCACTAAATATGCATTGCAAAATTGACCCTTCCACTTTAGCCTTGTTTTTCACATCTTTTTTCAACTCATGGAGCAATCTAAATTGAAAAAAAGAATAAAACTTATTCAAATATTAGATACAATTGCATCTAACATCATTAATATTTTAAATAAAAAGTAACTATAGAAGTTACCTTTCAAACCCATACATCCAACGATATTGAACTGGCCCAGCAATCCTAGCCTCATATGGCAAATGTATTGGCAAATGCTCCATTGAGTCAAAAAATCCCGGAACAAATATGCTCTCCAATTTACAGAGAATTATTGAGATTTCATCTTCTAGTCTTGTCATTTCTTCCACTTTAATGACTCTTGCAGTTAAGCTTTTAAAGAAAATGCTTAGTTCAGTTAATGCTTCCCAAACCTTGGTTGGCAACATCTCTCGAAATGCAATTGGCATTAACCTTTGCATGAAAACATGGCAATCATGACTTTTCATTCCAAATAGCCTATACTTGCTCATATCTACACACCTTCCCATATTTGAGACATAACCATCCGGGAATTTCAGATTTTTCACCCATTCACATAACACTTGTTTCTGCTTATTGTCTAATGAATAACAAGCTTTTGGGTATTTACCTGTGGCATGGTTCTTTTCTAACTCTTTTCTGTTACAAAAGAGTTTTAAATCTTCTCTTGCTTTCGCATTGTCTTTTGTTTTACCTTGAATCACCATTATTGTATTGAAAACATTCTCAAAAACATTTTTCTCGATGTGCATGACATCAAGATTATGTCGAATGAGATTTGATTCCCAATATGGTAAATCCCAAAAAATACTTCGTTTTCTCCATCCACAACTACGACTGCATGATTTATTCATCTCTTCTGCATTAGCATCTGTAACTTTTAATAGTCCAAATTCATCGATTTCTCTTAAAATTTCTGTGCCATTCTTAATCGGTGGAGGATGACCTATTTCCACACGATTTTTCATGAATCTTCTTTTGTTCAAGCGAAATGGATGATTAAGTGGAAGGAATTTCCTATGATTGTCAAACCATGACATTTTTCCACCATTAGGAAGCCGAAATGCTTGTGAATGTTCCCTACAATACGGGCATGCTAGTTTTCCTGCTGTTCCCCAACCTGATAACATAGCATACGCTGGGAAATCACTAATTGTCTACATCAAAGCAACTCTCATTTGAAAATTTTGTTGCAAAGAGACATCATAAGTTAGCACACCTTCTTCCCATAATTGTTTCAATTCAGCAATAACAGGTTGTAGGAAAACATCGAGTTTGTTCTTAGGGTTGTTGGGTCCAGGCACTATTGCAGTCAGAAACATATATGGCTCTTTCATACACATGGATGGAGGCAAATTATATGGTGTAATGATGATAGGCCAACAAGAATATTGTTGTCCTGACTGTCCAAATGGTTGAAATCCATCTGTGCATAAACCCGACCTAACATTACGGCTTTCTAATGCAAATGATGGATGTGTTGCATTAAAATGCTTCCAAGCTTCCGAATCAGAAGGATGACACATAACTCCAGAATCGTGGCCATGATCGTCATTGTGCCATCTCATAAAAGCAGCTGTTGTTTTTGAAGCATAAAGTCTCTTAAGTCTTGGAGCTAATGGCAAGTAATACATTTTCTTGTAAGAGACAAGTGATTGGTTAGATGAACGACTTGATTTTTTGTACCTTGGTTGCTGACACAATTTGCATTGGGTTAACTCCTTATCATCACCCCAATACAGCATGCACCCCAACCTACAACAATCAATTTTCTCCACTGGTAGCCCAAGCCCTTGTATTAGTTTCTTTGTCTGGTAAAAACTATCAACCATGTTATTGTCTTCAGGTAAACCATCCTTAAACAATTGACAGAATGCATCAAAGCATTGCTCTGGGAGACGATATTCTGTCTTTATGTTTAGCAATCGAGCCACAGCAGATAATTGTGTCAACTTTTCACAACCAGACCATAATTGTCTATCAGCAGCATCTAACATGTCGAAGAATTTTTTATCTTCTACATTTGGCTCCTCACGCATATTCCTTGCTATGAGATTTGGACCAGCAACATCATAAACCATCTGCTGATATGATTCCAACAGTTCATTTTGCTCATTTAAACTCCAATTTGCATCAAACTCCATTGAAGTTTGATTGTGTGACATTTCTCCATGTCTATTCCACTCAAAGTAATTCGGCACAAAACCAAATTTGCACAAGTGAAATCTCACAATCTCAGCTTCTTCAAATGAGATGTGACGACATCTTTTACATGGACATCGAATTTTAGTTCCATCCATGAAATTCGGCTGACTACATGCAAACTCAATAAATGTTTCTAATCCTTCAATAAAAACTTGATTAAGATCACCACGTTGAGTTCGTCTTTGATACATCCAACTTCTATCCATATTACTCATTTATAGATGCCTACATATTTACACATATATTATCATGATTTTCAAAGTAATGATTATGCAATAGAAAAAGCAAAAAAAGAAGCAATCAAATTAGTCATTTATGCCTATATATTTATATTCACATATATTAACATGATTTTCAAAGTAGTTTGTCTTTCTCAACATTGGGTTTTACAATGTTCACAAATAAAATAAAATAAAATAAAATAAAACAAAAACTCAATCCTCAATGCATTGCACAATTACAAAGTTATGAAACCACTAAATATAATGGAGCATGGTGGGAAACTTTATACGGCCACATGCCAAAGAAATGGCATATATATGCCATGGTCAAATTATAAAATCTTGTGTACTCAATGCATGTAATCTAGTATAATTATGCGAAATGACAAAAAAAAGGCCCACATATAATTATTATAAATATTTCTGCCTCATATATAAATCCCTGTTAAAACTATTTTTAAATCCCTGTTTCCTTTTTCTTCTAAAAGCAAAGAAGTTTGATATTGATAAAACAATCCAAATGTGGGCTAACATGCTCAACTGGAGAAAGGAAAATAGAGTTGACTCATGTTTCATTGCATGTCTTTCATTCATGCTTTTTTCTGTTTCTTTTGCTGGGAAGTATATGCTATTTCTCAATCCATTGTTCAAATGTGTGTCCTTAATTTTGATGGTGTATCTTGAAAAATGTTAATGCATAACTTCAAGGAAACAATATGATAGATGTCTAGAATTAAGAATTCCTTTTCTACTGATTCTTAAGTGGTTTAGGAAGATTGTTCTTTTTTTTTTTTTTTTTTTTTTTGTATTTTAAGACAAAATCTTCAAAATGACTGTTTTATTTTTCTATAAAAGACTTTAGTGTATGAATTCAAAAACCTTATCCAGTTATCACACTACGCATATTGCCATAGCTATTTAATGTGTAAATTTTGTTTCTGATATATGTTTTATGAAAATGTAAATGTTTAGGATTTTGTATATGATGAACTTCAAGACTCTTTAATTGGCTCTTAGTTTATGGCCTTCTAAGATTTTTCCCAATTTCTTTCAAGCAATAGCAATTAGCAGCCTAGCAGAGCTGTACAGTGACAGAATGGCGGACCAGACAAAAACAAAATAATGAACCAAATAATGCAGAGAACATTGGGGTACGGTGTTTCAAGAAAATCGAGCAATCAACAAAAACAAAATAGAGTAAATCGACAAAAAAAAAATAGAACATTGGTTTTCCCCAAACATACCATAAACTGTCAATTGTTCAATTCAGTTCCCAAACATACCATAGTTCAATTCAACCACAAATATATGCAATTGAATTGTAATTTGAACTGAAAGATAAAAAAAATAGCTACAGAAATATGTTAAACAATTACCAGTACGTCACAAATGGAGGAGGAGGTTGCACGGCTACGGAGGAGGAGGAGGAGGCTGCACGGCGATGGCGTTCTGCGGCGTTCGGCGGCGTCCGGCAGCGTTCTGCAAGGCGATGGCGTTCGGCGGCGTTCTGCACAGCGACGGAGTTCAGCGTGGAGTGTTCTACTTCTGAGAAGATGTTTGCACTTAGGGTTACAAACTTTTATTTTATTTAATTTTAATTTCATACTCAAAACGCCATCGTTTAAGTAAAAGAAAAATAAAATTTAATAAAACTATTTTGCGACGGAATATAGGTGGTCGCAATTTCCGTCGCCGTTTTAGTCCATAATCTGAAAATTAATTAATTTAACGACGGAATCAAGTCGGTCGCAAATTTCGTCGCCAATTAGCAACGGAACACAAATCAGTCGCTATTTCCGTCGCAACATGGACGACGTAAATTACTTCCATCGCAAATTCGGTCGCGAAAATTTGCCGCCAATATTTCGCGGGCTTTATTTTATCTTTGCGCCAAAAGTCACGACGGAATAAAATTCCATCGCCTATTCCGTCGCCATTTGGCAACGGAATGAATTCGGTCGCAATTTCGGTCGCTAAATGGCTACGGAATATAGTCCGTCGCGATTTTCCGTCGCGATTCGCGATTTTTCTTGTAGTGACTCTTTTTGATGATTCTAGAGAGACTCAGATTTTCTTCATCTTCGGATGAGTCTTTGACAAAAATTGTTTCTGGTAGAGGAGAAGGTAGAATTGGGTCTTTCTTCTCTTGTGGAGATTTTGGAGGGATTGGAACAGCTGGAGTTTCTTCTGCCTTTTTCGCCTTACTCAGAGAGGAGTGTTTTTCTCGTTTTTGTCGTTTCGGCTTGGGTTGATCATCTTCTGAAACCCTAGGTGTTCTTGATTTCCTCTTGGCTTTGACTTGCTCAATAGGGATTCCCAACTCCAATGCCTTCTGCTTGTCATATCCGGATGGTTTTTGTTTCATGTGACATGCTTTCTGTCCAGGTCGAATTCCTGGGCGCAGAACGACTACTTTCGTTGCCAGAAGATGGCTTATCACAAAACCATATCCTAATTTCTTTGCAATGTCTCCTGGACTCTTCCGATGAAAGGTGATGGTGTGAACAATGTTGTTGAATATGATCTTCGACCAATCGACTTTAAATCCATTCAAGAAGGCATGCAACATTTTCAACTTCTCCTTCGTTACATCATCAGTGCCCGATGTCTTGTGATCGACGAGTTTATTGAAGATATCAACAGTGAACTCATAATCTAGCCGGAACCATTTCTTCTTCAACGGCCATGTGATTTCTGCTTTGGGTGGTGCGTGATTGTTCATGATGGATTCGTAGAACTCCTCTGGATCGAGATGATAATAGATAATATCTGACTTGTAGGATTCATCTCTCTGTGAGAACCCGTATGTTGATCGAACGTCCTCCGAGGTGATGACCACATGATGATTATTGACTCTGGAAGTGATAGTCAGATAATCAGAAGATATTGAAGCATTCATATAGAACTGGGTTACATCAACCGGGTACCAAACAGTATAAAGATGTGTGATGAAGCCATATAATCCTGTTTCTGTGAGGAGCTGTATGATGTTTTCACCAAATTTTCTATCCAGGATATACTCAAGGAATCCATGCGCGTCCCACATATTTCCCCCTACGATGAAGGGTACTCTGGATTCAATGAATCTCAGGTCCTCAGTTGGAAAGCTTGGGACTTCCAGGTTGGAAGGAGTTTTTGGTTCAGGATTAGATGGTGATGCTTGTGGATGTTCTGCCATAGTTGAGGATTCGAGAGAGACAGAGGGTTATGAAGAATGAGAGTGAGAAAGGTAGGGTAAAAAGATTAAGAAGGTTTAAGAGGGGTTTTATAGAACTCCGGGTATCCGGGTATGGACGATCCATTTAGAGATGAATGGTTTAAAATTCAAAACACTCCCGGTTCTTCTTCTCTAAAAGGTAACTGATCAACATGGGGGAGTGATAAGATCGTGTGCATATCAAAAACGATCATTCCCTCATTTAATGAGGTGAGAGAAAATCACTCGAGTGCTTATGGGTGCATTAAATGCACGTCACATCATGTATCAGACAAAGTGGGGGAGTGGACCACTTTTCTCGGCCACATGATCCCATTAGGATTCATCTGAACGGTTGGAAATAAAAGCTTAAAGCATTAAGCATATTTAGTCATGATTCCAAACCCGAAAGAAGATAGAGATTTCATAACATCAGACTTGTAAGACAGATAAAGTCGAACAGGTCCTTTTTACATCAACAGAAATGCTTCTCCCGAGAGAATTATTACACAGAACAATACGCAACACAAACAGTTACAATCTCTCGTGCATTTGTAGGCAGACTTCCCTTCTACACATTGCTACCCTTCTTCTTTCGTTCGTACTCAAGGTATTCCCTCTTTCGGATCTCATGAGCAAAGACTTCAGCAATGAGGGTCTCGTGATCTGCTCCCAAGGTTTCTCTAGAGAGACCTCGTCTCTCCATGTCATTTAGTTCAGCCATTACCTTGGCCTTAGCAAAAGAGTACAGTGCACGATATCTTTCTTCGTGCTTTAGAAGAGGGGTAAGTTCAACAAGAGAGTAGAACTCTGAGATTTCAGGTTCTTTCTCAGATGATGAACCTTTCTCAACCGAGTTCCCGAGATCACGGTGAGACATTTTTCCAGTCTCAGATAAGCTCTCGGATGAGAGTGCCTTTTCTTTCCCTTTATCCATGAGTTGAAGAAAGAGATGAGTGAGTCCATAGAAGATTGAGAGGGTCCATTAAATAGAGAGACCGAACCTCTCAAAAGATGTGTCCAACTGTCTTAACCAAGACACTGTTTAGGGAATATATTCTTTTTCAAGAATTTTGTCCTTGATTCGAGATTTTTAGACAGGTGATAGATAAGACATATGAAGTCTCGTTCAAAGGAAACCATAGCCAATAAAGCTTTATTATTCATAGAACCGAGAGAAGAAAGTACATAGGATAAGATACAACAGACAAAAGGTCAATTTTTCTTCCTCTCGTTTTTCTTGACTCCAGATGGTTCATCTTTGGCCTTTTTCAGATTTCTCATCATTTGCTTGAACCACTTCCCGGTTCGTGGGTAGTTTGAGCTAGATGAGGATTCAGGTTCTTCCTCCTGATCATATTTCTCCATTAAGTCCTCTTGTGCCAGAAAAGCCATATAGTCTCGATCTGGAATCTTGGTAGGATCTTTCGAAGTTTTCTCTTCACTTTAAACAATAAAACCCGCCATAT